GTGGGATTCCGGGCTGAAATTTTAGACCCAAAATTCTCCTCTCACACGTAGTTTTGGCAGAAAAAGCACAAATCTTTCGTTTTTTCCAATACGGAGCGATAGTGTCCAGGTTGTCCCTATTCCCATCTCCAAAGCTTCTTCCAGGTGTAAGGGGAGATTCTTCGCTATGAAAGGTGTAAGGTATAACCCGTGGTGTGGAGGGCAGGGCAAAGTGAGCGCGCGGCGTGGGGGCAGGAGCGGGGGTGGGCGTCCCTGACCTTGGCCTGCAGCCGCTGCACCAACTGGGCCTGCCGCTGCTGGCCCTCCTGGTAGGCCTGCAGCTTGCGCCGGTAGGAGGCCTGCTCCTCCTGCAGCTGCCTCCGCAGCTCCACGCTCTGCCGCACCAGCCCCCGCGGCTCCTGCGTCTCTGGCTCCCCACACTCCAGCCGCACAGCCTGCTCCAGCTGCAGGGAAGGGCCCTGGGTGAGAGCTGGGGCCTCCGGGGAAGGCAGGCACAGGCCTCTGGGGGGGTTGCCAGGTTCAGCCCGCCCCACAATGCCTTGCTGATAGCCTGGCACCGGGGCGGGGGGGGGTGAGCGGGCGGGTAGCAAGCACAAGGGAGCAAGCCCAGGGTGCTGTGTGCATGTGTGGCTGCCGCAGCCCCTGCACGTGTGCACACAGGGACGGGGCCTGCACAGATACCCGCAGGGGGACCTGCAAACAAACGGGGCACCTCTGCGCGCCCGTGCCGCTCAGGCCTGCTGGGGCTTGTGATGGTTCCTGCCCAGGTCTCCCCACCCCCACCCCGACCACACCCCGGGGGAGCTCAGCAGAGCTGGAAATGTGCCGTGTCGGGCACTGCTCCCGCTCAGCGAGGACTTGCTGAGATCATGAATCAAGGGCACGGGCATGTGTGAGAACACTCAAATCACAGGCACCCACACACGTGTGCACATGTGAGCTCAGACACACGCACACCCACACCAGCCCGGGGTGACACGGATGAACCCACACGGGCGTCAGTAGAGAGGAAACCAATCCGCCCCCCACAGCCCCTGCCTCCTAATGCCCACCCTCACAGGAAGCCCCTGCCGCCTTCCTCTGTCCCCAGGCCCCCCCACTCCCCAGGCCCCCACGCACCCAGGCAGGACGCCTGCCCCCACTAGCCACGGAGCCATCTCCAAGCCCTGGAGGCCCCAGCCTCCCCTAGCTGTCAGGGGTAGAACGAGTGAGCAGAGCAGGGTGATGAGGGCACAGAGGGGCTGTGGACAAGCAAGGGGCAACCCCTGTGGGGAGCAAACCCGGACTAGACTGAGTTACTGGAATTAAGACTTATTCTATGCATCTGCTCTCCCACAATATGGCGCTGGGAGAGAAGTAAACAGCTTCCGCACAGCTGCCTCCAGTTCAACCAATAAACTGTAGGACTTGCTCCTGATTGGAGGAGAGCAGCGTACTCGGCGTGTGGGCAGCCGAGTTGGGATTGGCGGAGGAGGACTATAAAGGAGGAGAGAGACGGCATGCACCAGGAACATCTAAGGGGAACATCTAGCTGAAGGAACACCTGTGCAGCCCCCAGAGAGCCGGCCGGCGGTGTGCCGCTCCCCTGCGGAAGTGGGGAATGTGGCCAGGGGGAACTGCCCTTCCACGGAGGTGGAAGGGATAGTAGCCAACCTGGGAAGAACCAGCAGCAAACCCAGGGAGGGCCGAGCAGACGAAAGAACAGCGCAGGGTCTTGTGTCGTTCCCCCACGAAGACGGGGAGCGACATAATGGTGCCGTGACTCGGATATGAAGCCTAGGCAGGGTTTAGTGTAGCTCCTCCACGAAGAGGGGGAGCGACAACCCCCAGCCCAGCGAACTCCAACACCAGCCCCACACGCACCAGCTACCTCCCCGAGCCAGGCCGCTACAGCCCAGCAGCCGTCCACATGGGCCCAGGACGGGTTAGTGGCAGGGACGGCTGCCCACCCAGGACAGCCTGAACCACTCACAAAGCTGAGGACAATCCCCTCTCCACCCACCCAGCCCAGCCCCAGGGCACACTGGGGAGAAGCATGAGCCACCCATGCTGAGGGAGGCGGCAGCGCGCGCCTGGCTGGCGGCGGCAGGACCGTGACAAACACCTGCACAGAATGGATGGTGGGCACGTGCCCACAGCCGCACGTGTGTGTGCACGTCTCTCGTTGGGCACTAGGGGACCCGGTGTGTCTCCATGTGTATGCTGGGTGCGTGTCTGAGCCTTCCCAAGGGAGCGGGGGTGTCTCGGGTCGCAGGCGTGTTGTGGTGCTGGGGTTGGGTCCGTGTGTGTGTGTGTGTGTGGGCATGAGCTCCTGTGGGCTACCTGTGTGCCAGGGAGGCGTGTGCACGGATGGACGTGGTGAGTCTGGGGAGGGGTCTGTGGCATGTGGCCGGGACTGTGTGCCGGCTTTTCCTGTGTGTGTGCTTCCACCAGACCTGAGACCGTGCACTGTGCTGCCTGGGCTGTGGGAGGCTGGGCTTCTGGGGCTGGGTCGGTGGGGTGTGTGTGTGTATGTGTGTGTGTGCGCGGGCGTCACGAGTGAGATCAGGTTGTGGCTACGCTGTGTGTGCTGTGCGAACGTCTGAACCAGCAGCTGTATGCTCCTGTGATGCGGAGCCACACCTCACCCCTTTCCACAAACTTTGCCCCTCAAACAAAGCCACTTGCAATTCAAAAGGCAAGGAAGCTGCCAACGCAGCAGGGATAAAAGTTTACGGGTCTCCCCTAGCAACAGCCCCCCTTGTAACTGCATTCAGTGCCCTCTGCCCAGGTTGCCATGGACACTGGGAGAGCCCAGGGGATCTGTCCTCCTGGGCCAGGGGGCGTGGCCATTCCCTCTCCTGCTCCCAGCTGCCTCTCTCTCCACCTGCTCCGCAGGGACTCTGAGGTCCTCTCTCTGGCCCAGGCAGGTGACCTCCGAGAGCCCCTGCCTCAGAAACCCTGCAGAAAGAGCAGTCAACAAGACACGCATCCTAGCCCTGCCTCCACTCCCCACACCAGGGATGCTGTGGAGTTTAACTTTTAATTTTTTTTTTTTAATTTATTTGAGAGGGGAGAGAAAAGTGAGAGAGCTGTCCCATCGCTAGTTCACTCCCCAAATGCCTGCAACAGCCAGGACTGGGACAGACCAAAGCTGGGAGCAGGGAACTCCATCCAGGTCTCCCACACGGAGGGCAGGGACCCGACCGCTTGAGCCATCACCACCGTGTCCCTGGTGTGCAGCAGCAGGAAGCTGGAGTCGGAGCCCACGTGGGGAGTCGAACCCGGGCACTGTGGTGTGGGACACGGGCATCCTAACTGCTAGGCTGAGCACCCACACTGCTGTGAGCTTTAGAGGGCCGGAACAAGCTTGCCGACTGCCCCAGCCCGACCCAACACGCATCAGTTACAGCCACAGGGACAGGCACGGGGACAAGGGGGCAGCTGGGAGCAACCGCTCCAGGACACTGGACTGGAAGTGTCGCACCAGCTCCACCATGGACTGTGGGTCTGTCAGGACCCCTCCTTGCCTCAGTTTCCCCATTTACAATAAGGTGTTTTCTAGGCTCCGATGTCCTCTGTAGACCCAATCCCCAAAAAGGCCATGAACGTTACTCTCGTGCACCCCCTACCTCCAGATGAGGCCTCACGCAGACCATCTGGGATAGGGAAGTCACACACCAGGGTCACTCTGCACAACCTGGAAGGGCCTCCCCAGCCATGTGAGAGAAGTTTCTAGACTAACCCAGCCCCCCATGCTGCAGCCCCAGCACCGTAGCCGGGCCCCTGCAAACACAGACCTGCCACCTCCCACCCCTCCTTCCCTGCTACGGCCAACCAGGGGGCACACAAGCTTCACTGGCGGTCAGAAGCTGGCATTTAATCAGCACAGTCCCCAGGGGCCTGGCATCGCACCACAGGCCCAAAGGGACAGCTCTCAAGGAGGAGGGGGCTGGTTCAAGGCCATGTCACCACGGACAATGTGGGCTGCCCTCCACGTCCCCAGGGACAAGAAGCCGGAGCTCGGCCTGTCCCAAATGCTGGAGGCCACCTTGGGCACCCTTTCTGCTCCTTGGCAAGTCCCAACAAGCCGGGGGCGTGTCTAGGCAGGCGGCTACCAGGACACGGCACACCAGCAGCCACACGCAGGAATGCATGCTCCCTGCCCAGCGCGGGTCTGCAGGCCTCAGCGCGGACAGGCCGGGCTCAGGCGTTCTGGGCTAACCTCGGCTCTGCCACCTACCACACAGGGGACCCTGGGCCAGCCTCTGGCCCTCTGGGTCTCTTCCAGGGGCCAGCTGCCCTAGCACCCCAGTTCCAGTTGGTTCTTTTCACGCCCAGGAAACAAACTGCCACACGAGCCCTAGGCTGGGAGCAGGGACCCGAGCTGTCTCAACCGTGTGCCTGACTCTGGGCTCCGTGCTCCCCTCCTCTGTTAACCAGTCATCAGAATAACGACCCTGTTCATTGAATGTGTAACACCCAGCATGCTCCAGGCACACAGTAGGCACTCAATAGACACTAGCTATAGTACAGCTGTTACTACCACCTGCACACCTCCCATCTGCACACACACACACTCTGCCCTTCGAGCGACAGTCGCGCCAGCCTGCAGCCCCACCTGCTCCCTAGGGTCACCTTCCACAGCCTGGAGGTCCAAGGCAGGCTGTGCCCTGATATCGGCCCCCACCGACCTCCCTCCTCAGGCTCTGGGACCCCCACAAGCCTGCAACACAGGTCCCCGGTGATGTGCCAGGGAGACAGGCCTGGCTCTCCTTCCTTCCCTTGCCATGCCAGGCTGCCTCGTTATCCGGACTCGGGGCCCAGGGAAGTGGGAGCCCAGCAAGACACCCAGAGACTCGAGGGGCGGGAAAGTTCTCTAGGGGGCTCGTTCTCTGTGCCCCACAGCCCAGGCCGGGCTGGGACAGACAGGAATACAAGAGTGCACTTCCCGACTGGCTGCTCACAGCGACACCACGTCCCACCGCCTGCCCACGGCAGAAGACAGGCCCCGAGGGTGGAGAGATCTCCAAGGGGGCACAGCCACAGTCCGAACCCAGGCTGGCCGGGGGGCGGGCCCTGGCGGCAGGGGAGCCCGGCCCAGCCGCAGGCCAGCGGTACCCACCCTCTCGCTGACCGCGTTGTACTTAATGGCGAGCTCGTCGCGCTCGGCCCGGCTCTGGGCCAGCAGGTCCTCCACGCGGGACAGCTCCTGCTGCAACAGCTGGTTCTCCTCCTGCAGCGACAGCAGCGACGCCATCTCTGTGGCCGGTGGCAGGGCTGGCAAGGGGCAGTGGGGACACGGTTGGCTTCCGCCTGGTTCCCGTGGGGCACCCTCCCACAGGCAAGAGGACCAACCAGGCCCTGGGGAAGAGACTGGTGGGAGTGGCAGGCCTGCACAGGGAGCCGAGGCTAGGAGAGGGCCTGGAGCAGGAGCCACCAAGGGCAGTGGGTGTGGCCTGGGAGATGCAGGGAGGAGCTTCATGTAGAAGTCAAGAGGCAACATCTGAATACTTGTGCCTTCCTTCCCCAGTTACTAGTCTCTGGGCCTCAGTTATGCTCATCTGCAAAATGGGTGCAACAGCAACCAGACCCTGTTACAAACACGGGAGTGCCTCACTCAGGCCAAGCGCTTTCTGAAACTTCTAAGGCTGAGATAGGGAGGCTGGGCTAAGAGGAAGAAGAGGAGGAAGAGTTGTGAGGGGAAAATAAGGCCAGAGGGAAAGGCAGATTTGCTCAGCTCCTGTGGGTTCCCCTCCCACCCCGAGACCACGGGCCTCAGCAGTCGCGGCCCACTAGACCCCTCCAGCTGGGCTCATGCTCCAGCCTCTCCCTGCCTGGGACTCCCAGCAGAGCCCCCATCCCTAACCTCACCCTGCACAGGGAGCCCCAAACCCGCCGTCAGGTGGAGCCACCAGCGCCCCCGCTGCAAAGGTGCAGGCCCTTCCCAGCCCCCACTCAGGGCCCAGGGAGGTGGCGTGCAGAGGCCTCAGCAGCTCTCGGCCCTCCCGCCCAGGAGGGCGGTGGGCAGCGCCACCCTCACGTCTGGGCGCAACGGCACCCGCTGCCCCATCACCCCTGGGCCCAGATGGCTCCCACCTTCCCTGGGAGGGCATCTTTGGGAGTTTTGGGGTTCAGGCAGGGAGAGGAAGCTCAGCCCCACTTCAGGCTGCATCCCAGGCGGGTAAGTCTGGGAGGACACAGCCAGAATTCACCTCTCTGAGGTCCACTTCCTCATCTGGGACGTGGGCCCTGCACCGTGGGGCTATGCCCGCCTTGCAGTGTGTTCTCAAGAAGTGAGCGCTAACGGCCACGCTCAGGATGGCTGCCGGGGGAGAGATGCGAGAAGAGCGGTGGGGAGGTGGTGGTACCTGGGCTCTCGGGCAGGGAGAGGTGCTGAGTGACGATCTCGCGGATGCGGGCGGGCAGGCAGGTGCACGGGGAGTCCGGGGCCGGGTCCCACGTGCTCAGGCCCTTCTGCTGGCCCGGCCCCAGGACACTGCTCTCCAGCGTCTGCAGAAGAGAGAGTCTCAGGGGACCTGGGATACTGGGCCCTCTGGCCTGGGGGCAGGAGACAAAGTCCTGCCACCCGGGAAACCTCCCAGTGACGCCCAGACACATGAGCGAAGCAAACCCGGCGGGCTCACAAAGCTTGCGGGGACAGCACACGGCACTGGGGGCTGCAGTCCTGCTCCGAGCCCAGCAGGGGAGGGTGCTGTCCTACCAGAGGTCCTGAGAACCCTGAGATCAAGGGAAGGAACCGCTTCCCACGGCAGGACACCGGGATAAGAGCGCCCTTCTATCCCCAGTCCTGCCAGGGCTCACACCCCCAACACCACTCCCCGCCCCCTGACCCCAGAATGCACCCACCGCTCACCACGCCGCCAGGCCTCACTCCCCTGCGCTGGACAGGGTGGGCCCGGCCCCGGGACCCACCTGGATAACTGTCTCCAGTGCCACCTGGGCCTCCAGGGACTCTGCCAGCCCCAAGTTCATGAGGGGGAGGCGGTGGGCTCCCCTCTGGCCCCCTCTTCCAGGGCTCCGAGACTGGGTCAGGCTGGGGGGCCCCAGGCCAGGCTGCTGTGCTGAGCAGCAGGCAGATTAAGCTTAAATCCGGCGGTGACCCCATGTGACCACGGCAGTGGGAGGAGCTGGGGGGGGCATGGGGAGGGAACAGGAAAGGAGACAAGAGAAAGAGGAGGGGGAGAGTGGAGAGGGAGGGAAGTAGAAAGAAAAGACTGGGATGGGGGAGGAAGAGGGGCGGGACCCAGAGGCAAGGACTCCCCCCCCTTACATACACCATCTCCACCCTCCCTAAACTGCTGGGTCCTAGAGCCCTCCAACCCAGAGGGTGGGGTCAGCAGTGCGAGGCGGGAAAGGCCAGAGGCCCAGAATGGGCATCCCGAAGTTTGCTAAGAAGGTGAGTGTCCGCAGGGCACTACAGCTTCCCACAGCACGTGCAGGGCTGGCACAAACCCATCCCCCCTCCGGCCCCCCAGCCCCCCTCCCCCTGAGCCTGGGGATAACATTGCTACTCCTCTCAGAGCTGTCTGAGGGTTCAACAAAACGTGAACAGCACGCACGCGGCCCGGCGCCAGTTCACCGGGCAGGCATTTGGGAAACACTGATTTCATTCATCTGAACGGCACAGCGCCCGCACCCCAGGGCACCCACTGGGGCCAAGGCTTCCACCCTCGGCCTCCCAGCGCTCCCTGCCTGCCACGCGGAGGCTGGCACAGCGTGAGAGCTGCGGGATCCAGAGACCCTGCTAAAGCTCATCTCTGAAAGAGGAATAGTAACACACGCCACACAGCAGAGAAAGGGGAGGGGCTGCGGTCCATCGGTTAGGCAGTGGCTGCTGCCCGCTTCCCCGTTAGCATCAGGCGCCGGGGCTCCTGCTCCTGTCAGCGCTGGGTGCCAGGCTCCCCGGGGGGCATATCTGCATCCTCTCCTGAACTCCTCACCTCCACCCATCTCCAGACCAGAGAGGCTGGGGCTCTCATCTCGGCCAGAAGCAGGAGGCCCCGAGCTCACTCCATTCAGGCCAGGAAGCCTCCCAGGGAGCGCCCCGAGCCAGGCCAGGGCCGTGGCATGTCCACGCTCTTACCACTGGGCCCAGGTCAGACGCAGGCACACAGCAGGTGCTGCTGCACCCTGCGTGCCCAGCTGAGAATTCTGTCCAGCAAATGGAAAACCAGGACACAGGGCACACCCAGCCAAGAAGGTAAGGGCCGCCAAGTTGCTATGGTAAAGCAAAACCTATTCAGGCAGAACCAAACCAGCCAGGGGCCCCAAAACCCAGGGCCCACCCTCCGCAGAGCCGGCCTCCATCAAGTCTCTGCAGGCTGCAGCCAGGGGAGGCCAGGATGCCACCCCCACTGCATGCCCAGTTCAGCAGGGCGGGCGCCTCGGATGTGCCTGCTGACCTGAGCTGGGTTCCTCCATGCCTCCCCCAGCCAGTGCCCCCACGCCACGGGGGAAGGAGGACATCAGACCCCAAGCGCTGGGTGATTCCAACCCTTGGCTCCAGCGCTGCCCTAGTGTCCTGCTGGGTTCCAGGGATCCCCGTGTGGATGTCCCGTGTGGATGTCCCGGCTCCAGGGCCTGCAGCTCCCACCCCCCCCCCTCCAGAGCAAGTGACTGAGCTCTTCATAGGTACCCGGATATCACAGCGGGACTCAATCTTGGCTGTGCGTCCTCACCAGCCTGTGCGACCCCACACACAGTGGGACACTAAGATGCCCCACGCTTAGTTGGGGGCCTGTATATGGCCTCTTAGAAACTGCTGTGTGTTCACTGATGGAACAAAGAATGGCCTCAGCCATTCTCGCTCTTTGCCCAAAAGACAGGTAACCTTTGGAATGTATTCCTCGCCCTTGAATCTCAATTGGGTCTCACACCCCATAGCCTGCATACCCCACCCACTTTTGCAGGTCCCTGAGGGCCCCCACAGCCACCTGAAAGACCTGTTCCAGGAATTCCCCTCCGCCTGCTCCCCTCACCCCCACCCTAGCCCCAGCCCCAGCCCTCCTAAAATATAAAACAGCCCTGCCCCTGGTCGAGGCCCTCTGCCATGGGTTCCATCAATGTGCTCGCCAGCAGTTGGTCACCCACCTCTGCGAATTTATTTTCTCTGAATAAAATCGGTCTGGCTGTAGATCTGGACACTGCCTCCTCTCTGTTCTGCGCTTTTCCTAACATTCACCACGAAAGATTTCTGATTCCTCCAGGGAGTACGGGCAGAAGCCGTATCCCAGACTCCCTTGCAGTCAGATGCAGCCACGTGATAGAGCTCGGGCCAGCAGAATTAAGACAGGAGAGTGCCACTTCTGACCTGACCCGTTAAAACTCTCCCATGAGGACTGCTCTCTGTCCCGCCCTGTCCCTTAGCCAGAAGGAAAAACCGCAAGGTCCCAGGGGAACCCCAGATGGACGTGGTCTGGGTCCATGGGCCACCACCCGGAGGACCACCTGCCAATGAGCCAACAGCAGGCGTGAATGAGAAATGACCACTAACGCGCTAGGCGCCTGAGGCCCCGGGTGTAGCCATCCCCTCGGCTAGGGCTGCCTTCACTGCTGTCATCACCACGCTTAGCATCGCTATCCTTACTCACGCTGGCGCCCCTGGCTCCAGACCCCAGCAGTTGTCCAGTGGGTAACTGCAGAGCAACACCAAGCTCCGCACCCCTTCCCTCCCCACCCTGTTGGGCCCTCGCCCACCTGCCCTGGAAGGCTGACCTCCCTGCAGCCCTTCCACGAACACCTGGGAGACTCAAACCCACCAGCTGCTCTGACCCACCGACCCTTCTGTATTCACTGCTGACCGGTAATTATAACAAAGACCCTGGAGCAAACGAGAGCCAGGCCCCTGGGGCCAGAACTTGCCGTCTGTACCATACATCGCGGTAGGTTAGCCCCAGGATGCAGGCACCGTTCTACCCACTTCACAGAGGACACCACTAAGGCCCAGTGACATCAAATCATTTGCTCAAATGCACCCAGCCATGAAGACTTGAAGCCCTGGCTGAGACCCAGGCCTGCCTGGCTCCCAAGTTTCTTGTTGTTTTGTTTTTAAATTCTTTTAGAAATTTATTTGAAAATCAGAGAGAGAGAGAGAGAGAGAGAGGGAGAGGTCTTCCATTCTCTGGTTCACTCCCCAAATGCCTCCATAGCCCCGGTTGTTGGGATCATTTGGGGAGTGAGCCAGCAGATAGATCTCTGTCTTTATCACTCTGCTGTTCAAATAATAAATAAATCTATTTAAAATTTGACTTAAAGGGGCTGGCGCTTTGGTGCAGCGGGTTAAACTGCCACCTGTAACACCAGCATCTCATACGGGCATTGTGGGCAGCCACAGGTAGTCACTCCCTTTGTTTACACTTAAACATGTGAATGGAGACTTCCCGGGCACAGACAATTGGGCTAGGGAGATTCCGGGAAGAGGCAGGAAGAACCTAAACCTTTCACAAGAGATGATACAGTCACACCTGTAACCTGCATTTATCACCTAAGTGTTTTATTGTACCCTTGTAATCAATAATTAAGAACCTTATTGGGAACTCTTTGTAACCTTAAGAGCCTTTTTGATATGTAAATCTTTTGTGCTCCTTCTTGTAAACAACTGGTCATGTTTAAATACTACTGGATTTATTCAATAAACGAGCCTTGATCAGGACTTGTCTTGGCTCCATTCTTTGCGTCCTTGTCCCCGCATTCCCACTCTCTGTTTCAGAAAAACCCAGTTCATTGTGCCACAGACCGGCACAGGGCATCAGTTCAAGTCCTGGCTGCTCCACTTCTGATCCAGCTCCCTGCTAATGCACCTGGGAAAGCAGAGGAACATGGCCCAAGCGCTTGGACTTGTCACCCATGAAGGAGACCTGGTTGGGGTTCCGGGCTCCTGGCAGTGGCCTGGCCCAGCCCTGGTCACTGCAGCTATTTGGGGAGGAGATCAGGGGCTAGAAGATATCTTTTGGGGTCGGTGCTGTGGCATAGCGGGTAAAGCCACCACCTGCAGCACTGGCATCCCATATGGGCAATGGTTCAAGTCCCTGCTGCTCCTCTTCCGATCCAGCTCTCTGCTATGGCCTGGGAAAGCAGTAGAGGATGGCCCAGGTCCTTGGGCCCCTGCACCCATGTGGGAGACCTGGAAGAAGCTCCTGGCTCCTGGCTTCAGATTGGCGCAGCTCCAGCCATTGCGGCCAACTGGGGGCTGAGCAGCGGATGCAAAACCTCTCTCTCTCTGTAACTCTGATTTTCAAATAAATAAATAACTCTTAAAAGCATTTAGTTGGCCGGCGCCGCGGCTCACTAGGCTAATCCTCCGCCTAGCGGCGCAGGCACACTGGGTTCTAGTCCCGGTCGGGGCGCCGGATTCTGTCCCGGTTGCCCCTCTTCCAGGCCAGCTCTCTGCTATGGCCAGGGAGTGCAGTGGAGGATGGCCTAGGTGCTTGGGCCCTGCACCCCATGGGAGACCAGGAAAAGCACCTGGCTCCTGGCTCCTGCCATCGGATCAGCGCGGTGCGCTGGCCGCAGCGCGCCAGCCGCGGCGGCCATTGGGGGTTGAACCAACGGCAAAGGAAGACCTTTCTCTCTGTCTCTCTCTCTCACTGTCTACTCTGCCTGTCAAAAAAAAAAAAAAGAAAAGAAAAGAAAAGCATTTAGTTGTCATGTGTAACTCACCACCATAAAAATGCTTAAAAACAACAAAAAAGGTCACCTTCAGGCTACAGGTGCAAACAGTGCCCGAAACAAGGGACTTGGGTCCCATTCCCAAGAAATTTCGGGATGCATATGCAAATACTCCAAAATCCAGAAAAACCCACACTAGTCCCAAGCAGCTGGGATAAGGGATACTCAACAGTATGGGAGATAGAATGGAAAAAAGAAAAAGAACAAGAAAAAAACAGTAAAGAAGAAAATCTAGTTCCTCTTTGACTGGCTTCAG